TTTTACAGTCGTTTATACTTGTTTTTGCTTTTATTCCCGTCGTTTGTGCTTAACCCATTTCTGAGATGTTAAACATTGAAGGAGGGAGGGGTCTAAAGACATGCTTAATAAATTCAAAATATATTTAAACACACTTTTTGTGTATATTGTTTTATCAACACATTTTATAAAGTAAACTTAGTATATGTAAGTAACCAATTTTTTATTTATTATCGACCTGTTCGTTTATTCCAAGTTTGTGCAGATTTGTGATCAAATTTCGACAGAAAATTCTGATTTACTTGGGTTTTTTTTTTTTCATACTTTAAGTAATGACCAACATATTTTTTTTAAAAATGAATTTGCATACAAAATAATAAGACCTTTTCTCTTTGTTTATATTTGAGAAAACCAAAACAATACGTTCATTATTGAAGGATATCTATTTTCCAATTTATAAATGCCAATCACCTTTTTTAAATTAAATAACATTCAAACAATTATTATTATATCATTAGCTTTTTACACAGCATATATTTATATAATAAAATATTTTTCATATGACAAATTTTCTTAGGTATACATTTAATAAAAATGTAATAATTTATTGATTTCTTGAAATATAAAGTAATTCTACAATAAATATGAAAGTATATATATGTAACATTTTATAAAAGTTTTAAATTAAAATTACAAAAAATATTTTACTAATAATAACAAATTTGATATAAGTATAAGAACATTTTAACATTAATTACAAACATTTAAAAAAAAAACAGATATTATAATAGTTATTTACGTAAAAATTAAAACGTATGAACATTTTAATTAAAAAATAAATGACACATTACAGTTTTTAAGTTTTTGAATAAAATTTTAAATTAAAACATAAATTAATTATTTAAAATACATTATTTAAAATGCTTTTTGACTTATTCAAATTAAACAAATATACTAACATTAGTAACCTAATACTTTTTTATTTAGTGTACAGTATGAATTGACAGTTAACATTTGTGGATGCTCTTACGTATCGTGTGGAATGCAGTTGGTCATCACATCGTTCCCATGTAATATTAGTTTCCCTCCAATTGTATGATACATAATGCCCAATTGCATTAATTTTTTTGGATTTTGGTATTATGAAATTAATAATACCTCTGAGTGTGAATTTGTTATGTAGCACATTTATTGTTGTTGGAATGTCACTCAAAACGACAGTTAATTCAAAGTCTAATTTTTTTTCCCAACTCAAGACTTTGGAAAACTGGTTCAATGAAAAAATGTTTTCCAAATGTAAAATTTGTTTTAAATTTTGTACATGGTCCGCAACGTGCCAAAAACCATTTTTGACCACGGGATGGTGAAGATAATATAGTAAAGGAACTATTGCTATTACTGATTCATTCATCCTCACGACATTAACAGATTTTGTTATAGAATTAATAAACTTGTATTAACGTTTTATTGATATTTTGTATCTACTAAAAGCCAACCGAAGGTGGTTTGCGTACTTATGCAATTTCATCAACCATGTGTTATTTACTATTATAAATTATAACTTTTAACTTTTTGCTAAATAGACACCAGTCTTGTAAAGTATTCGAATACTTTTTGAAGTATTTATATGCTATTCTGAATACAATTTATTTTTTTTTTTATTTTTTAAGTATTTTGATTATTTCTTAATTGTATTTTTACTAAAATTTAAATACTTGTATTAAAATATCATAAAGTATTTTATTAATTTTAATTTATTATTTAAAAAAAAATCGATTTTGTTGAAAACTAATATTATGTTTTTGTATAGTAAAAGTAGGTAGGTAATAGCAATGTTACCACACTAAATACCACATTACATTTTATATAGTTTCTGTTTTGGAATTTTTTAAGAAAACTGAAAATCTAATAAATTTAAAATAGTTCCAAATTAATAGTAATATTACCAATTTTTATTATATTTTTTTCATTGAAATTTAATCATTATTAGTTAAATTATATGTGAATGCAGAATGAAATATGTGAATATGTATTTATCTCTAAATAGTCAGACATGTTATAATAATTGTTAAGATTCATGGAAAGTAGTAACATAATAGTTACCTATACTGGTGTACAATACATATATATATAATATAGCATAGAATTAAAAAAAATACTTGGATTTGTATTCAAATACTTTGTAAGTATTCATAAAATACATTTTTATAATAGTATTTTAAAAGTATTTTTAATACTTTTTTATTCGAATACTATTATTAGTATCTTAATACTTTTTCAAAAGTATTGTTTATAAACTGTGTTTACGGTTAGACACGTAGGTATGCATAAGTTTCAGTGCGAATTCGCAGTACCTAGCCTACCAGATCTAAAATTCCGTGGCCGGATAAAATGGTCGCTTAAACGTCAATCCAAATTTAAAAATGACAAAATAAAAAAGGTTTCATACAATTTTAAAAACGTGTTATGATATTATCATAGAAGTTTTTTCAAAATGAAAATTCATCAATAATTATTATATCACTTCGGGGTTTTGGTGAGAAGAGCTCTTATTGTTTTAAAATACACGTAAAAATATCAAATATTTAAATTTTTGTACGCAAATTAATTAAAAAAAAAAAAATAAAGTGGGTCGGTCTTTATAAAAAAAATCCCAAGTAAATCAGAATTTTCTACTGAAGTTTGATCACAAATCTGCACAAACTTGGAATAAACGAACAGGTCGATAATAAATAAAAAATTGGTTAGTTACATATACTAAGTATACTTTATAAAATGTGTTGATAAAACAATATACACAAAAAGTGTGTTTAAATATATTTTGAATTTATTAAGCATGTCCTTAGGCCCCTCCCTCCTTCAATGTTTAACAACTCGGAAATGGGTTAAGCACAAACGACGGGAATAAAAGCAAAAACAAGTATAAACGACTATAAAAATTTGAACTCGAAAGTCCGATGTAGTGGGGGGGCTGAGCATGTCCCCAGCCCCCCCACCTTGAAAGTTCAATAACTTGGAAACGGGTTGAGCACAAACGACGGGAATAAAAGCACAAACAAGCACAAACGACTGTAAAAATTTGAAGTCGAAAGTCCGAGGTGGGGGGGCTGGGGACATGCAGCTTATCAAATCATATCCTCAAACTTCACATTCTCAGAGTACTCTTACATATTCAAAAAATGTTAATGAAATTAAATGTAAGTCAAAGTATTGTTTATTAAATTTCTATGTATCATCATTGATATATTTAAATAAAATATATTGCATTCTTAATTTTAGTAGTAGTTGTAAATAATCATTATAGCATATTTTGTCATCAAATATTTTTACCATCCAGCTGTAATAATATATCTATATTATATTATATTTTAGCAACATCATTCCTGCCGAAATCTAAAGAGCAAAAAACTGACAAATCCATTTCTAAACCAAATAAAGTAATAAGGAAACCATTATTTGAAGAAGTTCAATCTCACACTAAATCTTATTCTCAAAGTTCAAAACAACAAAAAAGTAATGATTTTATTTTTATGATTTGTTGTGTTATGAATAGCATAACATTTTAAATTACATTCATATATTTTTGTGTTTTATCAGATAAAAGTTCAATTGTGAAAGAACTTTTCTCAACAGAGAAACATATGACCAGTATGCAGCCAGCTACTCCGATATATTCAAAATATAATAATGAAATAAAATGTAAGACAAATTATTTTTCATTAAATTTATAATATGTATTATTGCATTAATACATTTTAATAAAATATGTTATTGCATTCTTAAATTTATAGTAGGTGTAACATTATTATATATTTTGTCATCAAATATTTTTATCATCCAGTTGTAATAATGTGTATCTTTTATATATCTTTTAGCAACATCATTCCTCCCGAAATCTAAAGATCAAATCCCTGACGGATCCATATCCAAACCAAATGAATATTTGGGTATTGAGAAAATGGGTAAGATATTGAATAATATTTTATATTTTTTTAACTTAATGAATGTCTTCAATTTTTATGTTACAGATCGCGAGTTTCAACAACATATGAACAGAAACATAGCATTTTTAAAAGTTGAAATAAGGAACATTCAAAACAACCAGTTGGTTATTTTGGAGCGACTAGATTCAATCCAATCTCATTTAGAAGATCAACCACTTATTGATAAAACAAATTCATCTATAAATGAGTTGGCTAATTATCAATTTCCTATTGACAATGTAGTAGACCTTTATACATTTGAGGATAATATAAGTGGGGACCAACAGTTCAGAACTCATTTGGTAATATATCAATAGTAATCTATGTATCTGATTTTTTGTTTCTGTCTTAACTATTTGTTTTTTAATTATTTAATTTAGGTACCTATATATAAAAAATATTTAAATGTGTGTATGGCAATTTACATATAATTTAATATATATATATGAGAATAATATAATATATACATTTTATAATATATATATATATATATATATATATATATTTTATATACGAGGTGTTCAATTCAAATAGTATGGACACGGTTATTAGGCTAATAATTGTCATTAGTCAACAGATAACACTGACTTTGAACTATTTTATTAGGTAAAATATGTAATCATCTCATTATAAAATTATATTATATTATCGTTTACCAGTACCAATTAGTCTAATGACCGTTTCCATACTTTTTGAACACCCCGTTTATACAATTCAGTAAGCATGATAACCCTCATTTTTTCTTTAATAATACATTTTTTTAAATTCTGATTTTTGACATTTTTAAATGTACTTGAAGATAATCTTTAAATTTTTAAATATTTTTGTACTAATAATGGAGTGTCCTTTGGCAATACAAAATTCTATATATTTTTTTAATAGGTTCTCACTTCCTTTTTACTTAAAAGTATTTAGTAGATAATTTTTTTGAAAAATTTGAATGAGTAGTATAGTACAAAGATAATATAGTCTTTATGTTAAAGATGGTTTTATCAGATATAAGCTATAGATGAAATATTGGAACTAGTATTTATTATACTTAGGCTTTTTTTTACAAATTATTAATATTGCTGTATGGATTAATATTAATGACTGAAATGTCCAAATCACTCCCTAATAATAACACTATAATACTAAAATCAGATTTTAAACATTTTTGAATAACTACAATAATTATAGAATCAACAATATATTTATTCCAATTATTAAAACTGTAGGTGAAAGAATTGTCATATATCGGAGGAAAGCACACAAAAGCCATGGTACAACGAATAATGTCAAAATTATTCAAAGATGAATTATTAAAAAATTATTCATTCACTGGAAAGAAAGGAAAAACCCCATTCTCTTCATTGGCGATTTGTTCGGTAATATTTGGTAAGTTTATATTTTTGTGCAAACATATATTTTTTTTAATGTTTTATTAGGTACTTATTATAGGTAATATAAAATAAAGTCTACCTTTAAGGCTATATAAGCATACTACTTGAATATAATTTTTATTCCAGGGTGATTTACCAAGCATGCCAAAAACCCCTTTTTATTTAATAATGAGTTTATTCAAAATCTGATTTTTGCATTTTAAATATTTTTAATATACTTATAAAGACCACTTCTACATAAGTACTTATATAGTCTATATAAGAATAAGTGTCCTACGTAGAATATACAATTTTCTATTTTTCAAATGACATATTATATTATATTACATTATTATTTCATTTTTTTGTAATACCATTTTAAGGACTTATTTTTAGTATAAACAACTTATATTAGAAACTTCTTATTTGAATTGTTCATATTAGGTACATCAGCATTTAAAAAAAAAAACTATCCATTTGATAATAGTATCATGTTTATTTTTATTTTTTTAGAAGCTGTGAAAAAACAAATAAAATTTAAAAACGTTCCACAAAATGAAATTGAGGAAACTATCAAATATATTTTGGCTCAAGCTCCATTCAACCTCAAACGTTCAACTTCTAAAATGGACAAACAGTCTTCTAGCTCAGCTATAATGCAGTCTACAACATAATATATAATATATACTTTTAAAAATGATAGTATACCAATAATTGGATAATTATTATTATATATAATATATTGTTATTTTGTATTTTTACTTGAATATAAGCATAAATTCTAATAATGTGTTTTTTGTTATATTATTTATAGTTGATAAATTATTTTTAGTTTTAGTATTTTATAATACAATTGTTTAAAATTTTGAATGACAACATTTGACCAATACTGGATAAATGAAAATAAATATTAATCAATATTTAATTTTAAATTTAAATAAACATTTATTTGGTTCAATTTTAAATATACCTCCAACTTTGGTTAAACATAAATCAATATATTATAAATTAATATAAAACATTAGTTTTAATGCTTAATAAATATTGAAATGTAATGATTATAAAATATTTTACTTTCAATTAGCATTCATGATTTACTTTTGGTTCAACTAATGTACCTGCAACATTGGGAAAATATAAAAGAATGAAAAATCAATTTATTTTAAACATTTATTTAACATTCAATATTGGATTTTAAATTTTAAATAAACATTAATTAATGTTAACTTGCTGTGTGGGAGTGATTCAACTTGCATGATCAACTTGAAAGTATCCTCGCTTTGCTTCGTTATGAGTTCCCTAAGGTTTTTTATCTCCTCCGTGAGTTCTTCTTTGAAGTTCTCAATTGACGTAGTATGGGGCTCTGGAGGTGGAGACGTCTTCTCCTTTTGCTTCACAAGTACAAACTGGCTTAGTAACATCTTAGTGCTTGCTGTGTACTCTTTTAGTTCCCGATGGACATTCTTGTTGTTACTGGCAAAGAGCGCCATGGTGTTCACGTATTTCTGCAGCATGTTGAGCAGCTCCTCTTCACTTAATGTTGCTATGTTGATGGTCTTCGTAGCATGCTTTTTTAAGCTAAGGTTAGGTCCAATTCTGTCCGATTCGAAACCATTGAAATGGGTTTGACTGTCTCAGCTGTAATGTTACCTGATGGAAGGGCCACGCTGGACACCCCCCCCTCCCCAACCGTCGTTCCCCCAGAAATCCAACCCTCCCGGTAGGAGGGCTTCGGGATGAGATTCGTTTTTCTTCATTGCACTGTTAATATTTGGCAGTATGGTTGGCTTGTCGGCCACCGAAGAAGCCAGCCTCGCTCTGTCCGTTTTGCGTCGGATGTGGTTCTGATGGTCCAATCTCCACCGAGGGTCGACCGTTCTCCCGGAATTCGATTTACTGTTTTCCTACAGGGTCCGTTTGCTGGCGGTAGCAGGTGGTTACCATACCTGCCATCCCCAAACAATTAAGGTCAGAGGCGGCTCTTTGGCGGCCCCAACTAATTAAAGTCAGGGCGGAAGAGTTGGGTACCTCTTATAACCGACCGGAATCAGTAAGCCCCCCCCCCACCACGTCAAGGTGGGTCCCGTCGGGGGGGACGCGTTACTACCTATGCGCTATCCTAATCATATTGACATAAGGTTTATAATGGATGATATTTAAAGTGAATGGAAATCGGTGATTTTCCGTCTTTACTACCATACGAGCACATTATGTATGACAAAATAAGTAACTGATTTTTAACTAAGTTTAGTTACTTATATTTTTTAATCAACATAAGACATATTGTTTATGTTTTATCAATTCATTTGTTTGTCATTTTATGTTATCATTTTCGTGCGATGCGTATCTGCAGCCCTCGTCGGCGGCGGTGATAAGCCTCCGTGTACGACCGGCCGGGTACGCAATCGCGCTGTTATCATCGCATGAAAATGTCATTATTCCACGTTTTAAAATTTTATCGGTTATGTTTCGTGTAAGTTTCAAGTCATACTCTCAGTACCACAAAGTTCATTAATTTCGAGTGTTTTTCAATTTTATGTGGTGGCACTGAAGCATTTTATCTTCATTGTGGTGTCCGGCGGTCTTAGCCTTCGTACACTCTTAATTAAATACTTAGAAAAATTACTGGTTTATTGATTTAACACTTAGAATAAACACAAAATATTAATAACAGTTAAAAACTGGGTAGAGAATTATTACTCGCGGCGATGTGGCTGTTACAATATCCACGACAAGTAATAATTTATTTAACAGGGGAAATGATCAGTATAACTGCCTATCTACATCTGATTAATGCTAAATGCTCAACTCGTATTTATACAGGTTCCAATGACGTAAAAGTAGCCTAATTCTAATATTACTTTATTTTGCCCTCTATTTAGCATTATTATGTAAAGACGTGAAACTACTTGTTGTTTTCACCTTTACCCTGGTTTTTCTGCGTATATGCGAATTTAATATATTATCTATTTTATACATATACTATTTTAATCTATTAAATAATCAAAATATTATTTTAATTATTAAATTTAGCTGGACCTTGGCGAATTTATTAATATGCGTAATAAGTTATTTTTGATTATTAAATATTGATTAATTAAATGCTGATTATAAAATACGCCTAGTGTCGCGCTCAGCGCTTATATAAACATAAGGGTGCCTTCACGACAGGGCAGTAGGCCACCAAACGTGCAGCACTACCGACCTATAACACTATCAAAAAAAAAAAATTAAATAATAAAGACCAAATATGTGGTATATGGAATTATAATAAAAAACAAACTAATATAAATAGTGTGTGGCCCACACGGCACACACCAAATAATAAAATAATAATAAGTGTTGGCCCTACAGCGGCACAACAATAAATATATAAATAAACACTATCAAATAAATATAATAAAAAATCTACGGCCCCACGGCACGCAAATACAAATAATTTAAATACAATATGTGGCCCACATGGCGCACGGAAAATAATAAATAAATACAATAATATAAATGGCGTGCCTACGACGGCTAGGCCCGTCGGCCTTTAAAACACAAATGAACAAATATGGTCGACCAATACTCACATTAATATGTGACTATGTTGAATGGTTGATTGCATCCACGCGACCGCACCAACCCTGTGACTAGACAAATGCCTTAGACGGCACACCGCAGTGTATATGTGAATAAAATTAGTCACAGAATTGGTACGTGCGACCACCCAAGCACAGTCACCACGAAGATAGGTCTACAGCAAAGACGAAGACAATACGAATGAAAACCACGTTAATCACAACTGGCTGTTGGCAAGTGACCACCCTAGAACACGGTACTATAAATGATAGGCAATGACAATTGAGCAGAACGCCACTTACCAGACAGCCGACACGAAACACAAGAAAACACTGAAAAACGGGGTTTGAACAAAATGGCTGCAGACCGATACACGAAACACGAAGACACTTCAGGTGATGTGTACACCACGACGCAAAAAGGAAGACAGCGAATTGGTGCCGTCGACATTTACCACGAAGGCTTTGGCCGCCGGACACCACAACGAAGATAAATGTCTCAGTGCCACCACACTAAACCAAAAATACACGAGAACTTACGAAACTTTGGCACTGAGAACATGACTTTTACTTTTACAAAAACATAACCGACAATATGAAAACGTGGAAATAACGGGCATTTTCGTACGACGATAACAATACGATTACGTAACCCGATCGGTCGCGCACGGAGGCTTATCACCTCCGCCGACGACGGCCGGGGATACGCAACGCACCGCTATACATCGCACGAAAATGATAACATAAATGACAATTAAACACAACACCTAGCCTTGGGCTTACTACATTACATACATTTATATACTTAAACCCGGCAACGACGGGTAATTCAGCTAATGTAAAATAAAGAAAAAATATATATTTAAAGATGCATTAACATAAACTTCCCCCCAGGGGGGTGCTTGGTAATTAGCACTACGAGTTTGGGGAACCCGGGGCCCCGAGCTATGATACTGGCTTTTACTAGCTGGCTCAATTTGGTTCTCCAGGTTGGGGGTTTGACAATGGGCTAACAACCCGTCACTGTAAAAATCTTAATTGTTAAGGAACCAAAACTAAAGCCTCGGGACAGAGATCTGGACAAAACACAACGGAAATGACCCGGACTATAAGGATTCAGGATTGGATTTTTTTATGTAATGTTCTTTTGGCTCACGTCAGTCAATTGTTGACGGATTTCAAATTGAAGGTGGGTTCTCAATATCACATTTCAGTTTGAATAGCTTTGATGTCGTTATGGCACCCGGAGCATTTATTAACTTTGATGAACCCGAAGAAATGGATGACGGCGAACCTGGCAAGCGACAAGCAATTGGAGGACTACAATATGGAACATATTCCTATGAAGAAAAGAATCAAGTCCATGTAGCTAGTGGCTCTCCAATTTATGAGCATAGGCTTAGAGGAATTGTCGATGGAATTCGTAATATTGACTTTCGAGGCAATGATCGATACATCAGCGACGTTATTGTCCCCTGTGGACCTAACGGAGTTGATGAAGTTTGTAAAGAATTACAAACTATGTTGTGACAGTTTCCTCTAAAGCTCCTAGTCACTGTCACAGCCCATGGCGACCATGTCCATTGCGTCCACGTCTGCCGACAATCAAACTCGGCTTGTCGGTGTATATGGTTGCAATGATCCGTTCTCTATCTGGACTGAGAAAATATCGTGCGATATTTTTCTACAGACGTCCGGGAACCCCAACAAATTGACGGCGTCGGTTCCTATGGAGGATTACGTGTATGTGGTAACGGGTTATTTGCAATACGTTCATAATTCGTATCTGAAAGAAGTCATTGTGTCCACAATGGTGAAAAGATATGGGTCGTCGTATCGTTTTAACGTCGCTCGTTTAAAAGAAATTGACATTTCGTATACTCGTAACAGACATTTGCCTAATGTACGAAATTACGAGAATAGATTACAAATGTTTCGAAATAATAAAAAATTTTACGAACCGTTTGTAGCGACTCCGTTTCGTATTTATTTAAACGACCTTGCTGATAGTATGTCGAATAAATTAAAAATATACAAAGGCACTATAAAAATACCGGCACCGAAAACGTGTCATTTTTGTTTGCAAACACTATAGAAAAAATACACATCGT